TCTCTCTCTCTCTCTCTGTGTTATGCTGTGTCTCTCGCCCAGGACTGGAGATGGCCTGGGTGGTCCGTCCTCCAGAGACGGTGAAGACCGGTGAGGTGTTCAGCGTCACATACTCGGTAACGGCCACAGACTCTTTCTACCACTGGGCAGTCGAAAACCACATCTTTACACACAGGTTAATACATCTGTCAAGACTTACACTACTTTACACCCGTTTTAGACTATAGACTATGACTATTCAATTCTACTAGGATCTGAGCTGGATCTCACCCTGGTCTGGTGTCTGTTTAGTTCCATAGCGAATGCTGAAGCAGCTCGGACATTTTGTGAACATCACGACTGTCCGACCAACTGGAAAGATGCAGACGGAGAAAACTGCTGCATTCATCATGCTAACATCCACTCCTGTCCACTGGGGTACATGGTACTGCATTTTCTTTATTTTTCATCCTCACTCTTTGAAGCTACGTAGCGATGCCTCAAGAAAAATATAAATGAGGAAATGTACGAACTCCCTCAAAATGCAAATATTCAAAATATCAGACTCTCCAACCAGTACTGAATTACCGTAAGGAGTAAATGTACTTAGTTATTTTCAACTTCCGCCTATCAGCAGAAACATAGTTTTCATCTGGAGATATTTATTTAAAAGTGCCACTATTTGATGAAATTACATTTTAAAGTCAACGAACCAATTAACATTAAATAACCTTTCAGACTTCAGAGAGCATCTGTGGTCCCTGGATTCCTGATGACGGAAGAATCTTCACACACACCATCTCGACCTCCGGCAAGATGACGCAGACCAACTGGACTGCCAAGGTAACAAAAGTTTAATCTGTATAGCCCAGTATCAAATTATCTCAGTAGGCTTTATGGGCAGTAATATCTTTGTATGCAGATGATACACTATTTATATCACTAATATTTCTCACTCTCCTCCCTATATGCTCTCAAGTTCTTTCAGCCTTTTAGCTAATATTTGAGGTATAGAATCAATCACCAAACTCCCCCCCAACCTTTTTTAAGGACAAACTTTTAAATTCAGTTACTCTGATGTTAAAGTCCGGCTGTCACATCCTTGGATAGTGTTCCTAATTGATCTGGTAAACCCATCACTCTGTCTTTCAGGTGGTCCTGGTCCATGCTGGTTTAACCTCGCTCATTGCTCATATACGAGTCGGTCGCATGCAGGTTGCTCTTGAGGCCAAGAGCACCGTGCAGCCTGCTGTAGGTAGGTTATGTTTCCCCTCTGCTCCCTAGCATGACTATAGAAACTAACACTAGGGTTGGGTATCGTTTGTTGTTTGGAAATCACAGATGTCCCCACAAATTAACTAAATTTGTGTAAACATGAACAAGTAGCTCTTTAATCTCTTCTTTCCTCTCCTCTAAGTGTGTGGTGATGGTGTCTGTGAGGAGGCAGAGCTTTGTTCCACCTGTTCAGCTGACTGTGGTGAATGCCCTATGAGCCCAACCACCAAGCTAGCGATCGGACTGCCACTCAGCCTGCTCTGCCTCTGCTTCATACTGACCGCTGTGGTGAGAACTCACACGTATGCTAATAGAAACCCTGCGAAATACTAAAAAAATTCAATAATACACAACTAATCAAAAAATCTGTCTCTTGTAGTGGCTGAGGTATCAGAAACAGAAGCTGTTGTGGGATGAGAGCTGGATCATAGACTTTGCAACGATAAAACAAGGTGCTGTAACAATCCAGATCAGAATAGAACTTGTGAGGGACTTATAACTAATAACTATATAACTTGTCTATGCACTGAACAAATCTGAAATGTTTCTAAAATGGCTGAAACCAGTGTACACTGGTCTGGAATTTGACAGGTATGGCTTTGGTCTGAACAGGTCTAAACCAACTGTGTCACAGTAACTGAAACAGGCTGGAACAGTCGAGAATTTCATGTTTTCCTATTGATATTTGCTGTTAAAGGTAGATCAGTTTATTAGAAATTATTTCACAATGCTGTTAGAAACCCTTGGCAGCATGAAGTGTACCCTCCTCTCTCTCTCCCTTTCTTTATCTCTATAGATCAGGAAGCTCATATGACCACGGGCAGTATGATGAGTGTACCGGTAGGGAACAGCGACAGTAACACCAGCTGTGTGACTGCTCTCAGCTCCTATACAGGACAACCCGGGACCCGAAAAACACCGTTCACCTGCACTGGGATATAGTATGTCCACCTGTTTGACTACCTGTCTGTCTAAAGTCATCCATACTGTTAACACAGTTGTTGTCTTTTTGATGCTGCCAGTAAGACTTGTGACTCGGACTGTCACAATCAATCATCTTAATCTGGTTGAGAAAAGAAGAAAGTTTTCTCATAGTAATCAAATGATTCACTTTTCAAAATATATTTTGGGGCATACTACTGAATGTGTTAGAGCCTACAGTAAAGAAACTGACATGCAACAAAGGTCCCCAGCCAGATTCAAACCTGGGACAATGCAAATGTGCCATAAACTCCACAAGGAAGCCCCAGACTGTTTATCCCGACTTTAATAAATTGATCTAAACACACACATATCCACACACTGCTTCAAGCTCAATGTTTCAAGCCTGGTTGGTAAAGATTAACATAATAATAAGAATAATTTTCTTCTCCAGTGACGGCAGGACGGTGGCCATCAAGCGGATTCAAACAAAGACTTTCTCTCTGTCCAAAACCATCAGACAGGAAGTCAAACAAGTCAGGTACCATACACACTTGTTACCCTTCCTTATCTAATAAAAGCCCTTATATATCAGATAAGGTATTTTGACTCTCTTTCTCTGTCTCCAGGGAGCTCGATCACCCCAACCTGTGTAAGTTCATTGGCGGGTGTGTTGAGGTTCCTAATGTTGCCATAGTGACGGAGTACTGCCCAAAAGGAAGCCTTAATGATGTCCTTCTTAATGATGAGATCCCACTTAACTGGGGCTTCAGGTAGACACCGAAACACAGTCTTACAATAGCATGTTGATTTAATCAAAACTGACCCTCCATAAGTCCCGCCCCTTTTCGTCAACTTCCTCCTCCTTACTTAGATATGCTATGTGCTACGATAAGATAAAAGATACAAGAGAATATACAGTCACATCTTGTCTTTTCAACATAGTTTAGCATAGCACATAGCATATCTAAGTACAGGAAAGAAGGAAGTTGACCAAGGCTTGCTCAACTGTTATTGGCGCACTTAGGAAGGGTCAGTTACAGAAATAACTTAACATAGTGTTTGTCATTTCCTTTTTTTCACTGTAATGGGGGTTTGGATTTATAATTAATAAATTCAATACAACAGGTTAATTTGAGTAAGAAAAATGAATAATCCCCAGTTGTATACGCTCCAGGTTTTCGTTTGCTACAGACATTGCGAGAGGGGTGTCGTACCTACACCAACACAAGATCTGTCATGGCCGACTCAAGTCTCTAAACTGTGTCTTAGACGACCGCTGGGTCTGCAAAATAACAGGTAATATGAATATACAGCAGTATGTTCTTTCAGTATCTTTTCAAAATAAACAATCTGGGAATTTATCTGAATGTTAAAAATACAATATCAATAATACAACAATCCAGGTAAAAAAAATATATATATATATATTTCATGGCAAATGGTTATTTAAAAAGCATATGATAGGTTTTTTGTCTACTTAATTTGACAGACTCCAGCACATAATCAGCTAATTTAAACTGAATCACTAGAAGCATTTTCTGAGCTGTTTTCATTAACAACAAAAAGACACTTTACTGTAAACGGTGTCTTCATATAGAAAGAAATCAGTTTAAATGGATCTACTCTCTTTGTGAAATCTGTGTATTTTTGTGAAAGTTAATGAATCTTATCACCTACTAGCTAAATGTTGCATTATGTTTTACATCAGAAGTGTAAAAGCAAGGCTAAAGCAGTAAACCTTGACTGTTCACAGGAGGTTGTGTTTCTCCTCAGGTTTTAAGCGGCACTTCTTCTGGATCCCATAATGATTGGAACCAAAATAAAATAATTACAATAACATTTAGTAATATCTTTAATCTGCTCACAGGACACTGAGCATTGGATTGTTCATCCACTAATTGTGAATATAACTCCATTGTGAGCATGTTTTTTAAGGGAATGCACAACAATAAGCTCATATTAGCTTATTAGTAGAATTAAATAGAGAACATCCACAAACAAAAACCTCTTCCTTTACATCATCACACTGATTGGATGGTTTCATTTTCTGATTTTGAGTGACATGTGGTCTGTCCTGTCAGATTATGGCCTGAGGATGTATCGCACAGATGATAGGGCGGAGCCTCTTTCCAGCTATCAGCAGAGACTCCTGGAGGTGTACATGCCGCCTGAGTTTCATAACTCTAACATGGAGCCGACGCTGACTGGAGACGTGTTCAGGTATCAATCACACAAAAATGAGTCCCTTGAGTCCACACAATGTGAGTGTGCTACAGGTCTCCGTCCCTACCAAGTGATTAATGCACATATACATACATATACAGAGTCACATTGCTAATCTCTGTATGTTTTTCCAGTTATTCCATCATTTTGCTGGAGATTGCAACTCGGAGTGACCCCGTCCCAGTAAGTCACAATTTGATTCAGTCAAAGTCACAGCAGAGTTAATGTTTATAATCAGGCTATTATGTGTGCTGCCTTATTGGTCAGGTCAGTGGTTAAATGAAGGACAGATCATTTTAAAAATCACACTTTGCAGGCAGAGGAGTCTAATCTGGAGAGTGCCTGGTGTCCTCCTCTGCCAGAGCTGATCTCCAGTAAAGCCGACAGCACCTGCCCCTGTCCTGCTGACTATGTAGAGGTGTGTACACACCGCCTCAATCTGCTTTTAACCAACCATTATTTAATTTAGATGTTGTAAATGACCTCTATTGCTGTCTTTTGTCCCATGTGTGTTTCCTTAGCTGATCCGACGATGTCGCTCTCATAACCCCACCCACCGACCCACCTTTGAACAAATCAAGAAGTTTGTTCACCGAATCAACCCGATCAAAGTCAGCCCGGTGGACATGATGATGAACCTGGTAATAACCTGTGTAACACAAAGTAGACATCAATTTAAAAGTAATCTAGTATCACTTTCTTATATTGTAACTCATCAAACAGTTTGATATTCATTTGAACTCAAAGCTGACTCAGAGCTCTCTATACTGTGCTGTATCAATGTAATATGAAGGTACAACTCTCTGTTTCAGATGGAGAAGTACAGTAAGCACCTGGAGGTGTTGGTGGCTGAGCGGACACAGGATCTGATGCATGAGAAACAGAGGACTGACAGACTGCTATACAGTATGACACACTTCTATCACCATGTCCAACAATGTGCTTATGTTCAATTCATAAAAGATTCTGAGCATAAAAAAACGCATTTTATGGAAGGTGTCAGTAGACATCGATGACTTACACCGCAGCATTTATTGAGGCTCGGCTGAGGAGAATATAGATCAGCAATACATGTGTATCACAGTGCAATGCCAACCCAATTCTCAAGGTTATCTCCTGTTGAGCGATATTAAACACAAACCTAGAACTACAAGAAAAACACTTTGCGTCTGAAAGGTTATTCTTAATGCTATTTGCATGTTTGTGTTGCAGGTATGCTTCCGAAACAGGTAGCTGATGACCTGCGGCAGGGGAAACCGCTGCAGGCTCAGAGTTATGTCAGTGCTACCATCTTCTTCAGGTAGGAGCAAAAGGAACTGACTGAATGAGAGTGTGTTTGTCTTATGTAGATGTGGTGTTCATGATCTACTAATTTCAATTCAATCATGGTTACTATATAAACAATTATTTTTGAATAATGTGTCTTGCTGTAGATACAGGGCAGCAGTTGTTGCTGTACATACAGGGCAGTGGTTGTTACACTAGATACAGGGCATCAGTCAATGCTGTAGATACAGGGAAGCCATTGTAGCTGTAGATACTGGACATTTCCTTAATAAACAGTCAGTTGTGCTGTTGATTGTACAGACACCAAAGACAACACTGTCCCTGTTAAGTGGAACATTGGGAATTATTTCACACTGGAACAAAAAAAACATCTTTCAATTCAAACATTCCAAGAAAATTTGATCAGTATTGATCTGAATTTGGCTCAGGATGTTTTTATTGATCAAGAAGAAAGTGGAAGGAATGGGCTGAAAGAAGTTTCTCCCTCATCACTTCTGAAGTGAACAGCATCTGTGCTTGTGTCTTATTGTTTATCACACAGAGGCTGCACTATATAAATAATCATAATCATAAAGGCGTTTTCAGGTTGTTTTTATAAAGATTTAAACTCACACTGCTGACTGAGAGGTCCATCAGATTTAAAGTGATCAGACAAATCAAAGTATGAAGTCCAAAGCGTGTGTGTGTGTGTGTGTGTGTGCAGTGATATCGTGGGCTTCACACAGCTGTCCAGCAGCAGCACACCTTACCAGGTCGTAGATTTCCTCAACAAACTCTACACAACGTTTGATGACATCATTGACAACTACGACGTCTACAAGGTGGAAACCATCGGAGATGCATGTGAGCGCTACCTACTGTATATTACTGTCCTGTCTTACTGTCACTAACTTCAGGTGACTGGATGTAATGTACCGTCAAGATATAAATCAGGTGCACTAAATATGGCCCCAAAAACCGTTATAGCCTTCATGATGGTACAGTTACATGCTGTTGACTTTATTATTATGTGGTTGTGTAGACATGGTGGTCTCCGGTGTTCCCCTGGAGAACGGGATCCTCCACGCCTCAGAGATTGCCAGCATGGCTCTGGACCTGGTGGGTGTCTGTCGCACCTTCAGGATCCCCCACAAACCCAACATACAGCTACAGATACGAGCCGGGATACACTCCGGTACGCACACACTCACACGTTTTTAACAATATACTCGTGTTTTATAATAATCAACCTTTAATGTCTCTCTCTCTTTTCAGGTCCGGTGGTAGCGGGGGTTGTGGGGACGAAGATGCCTCGTTACTGTCTGTTCGGAGACACAGTCAACACAGCATCTAGGATGGAGTCCACCAGCCTGGGTAACACTCTCTACCTTACACTCACTGACCTTTACTTGACCACCCAGACATTTGACATGTGAAAGTTGGTAGCTAAACCTGAGAAACTTTTTAATGCGAGAAACAACCTATTTTACATAATCAGTTTTTACAATGAGAATCTTTGCTTATTGTTTATGTCAGAACACAATGATAATGTAACTTCATTATCAATCCTTCTAACACTGAGTCGTTGTGTTTCCAGCCCTGAAGATCCAGTGCAGCTCCAGTGCCTTTTACCTGCTGGAGGAGATCGGCGGCTACGTCCTGGAGTGCAGAGGAATGCTGCAGGTCAAGGTGAGACACCTGCTCCCACCGCTGTTCACTTCTGTCACTGGGAGCTGCCCATTAACACTCTGGATCTGTCCCGTCTCAAACAGGGGAAAGGTGATATGGTAACTTATTGGCTGGTGGGGAAGAAGACATCTCTGGTCTCCAAGGACGTCAGTCCAGACACCAAGACGACCAAACACATCACCACTGAGACAGAGGCAGAGGCGGAGAAAGAGCGAGAGTTGTACTCCTCCATGCCCGGGTTCCTAAACGATGATCTCCTGGATCCGGCCTGATCCCCAGAAACTCTGAGTTTATCATTTGATGTGATTTCTTCAGTTGCCATCTGTGTTTGTTGACAGTTAGCCTGAAAACTATATATAATGTGTTATATGTTATATGTATGCATCGTGCTGTGGCTGTTTAATTATGTCAATCAACTGAACAACAAGATCCCCAGAGCTTAAACACATTAACACATTATTATAACTGTGTAAGTGGGTAACACCCTTTAACCTTATTCCTGAACTTTATACAGAGGTTAGGGACACGAGGCAGAGGTCGTGCTGTAGATACAGAGCAGAAGTCGATGCTGTAGATACGGGGCATCAGTCATTCTTCTGGATTCGTCCTGATCCCCAGAAACTCAGTTTATCATTTGATGTGATTTTTTTTCCAGTTGTCATCTGTGTTTGTTGACAGCCTGAAAGTATTTATATGTTATGTAACCACCATGTTGTGGCTGTTTAATTGTCATTAATCCACTGAACAAGATCCCTGCATCTTAAACACATTATTAGAACTAAGCACTCAACAAGTAAGGACAAGTAAAATCAGGCAAGTAAATCTTGCAACAGGTTGTTTTTTTCCGGTGCTCATGATTGATGAGCTAATGAGTGAGCTATCTCGCTTCCTTCTCACCTCTGTTGAGGGTTGCACATGCTCAGTACTGATCAGGCACTTACGAGAACATGCTGTCAGGTAAAGACAAAGCCAAAAGAGCATTTCTGTAATGTCAGAAACAGGAGTTTAGTTGGGGGGCGTTAGAGGATGGAAGTTTGAGAGCAAGGCATTCGTGGGTGGATCTAGCTGACATGAAAAAGGCCTGGTCACCTCAGTTTGGTGTCAAATGCTTTACATTGCGTTAATTGAGATTAATAAAGTCTAAAAAAAAACAGATATTCATTTAATTATCTGTTATGGCGACATCTTAGACTAAGTAATGACTTGAAGGCGTAATTTCAATGAAGACAATCATGTATTTTGGAAAAATGTCTAAAGATTTGGAAATAAAACAATTTATTGATTTCTACAGGGTCGTTTTTAAAGGAAAATTTTAAAAGCTAGAAGAGTTATTCAGAAGCTGCTAATAAATAAAACTATTTGTATTGGGGCAAGTACATTTCTGACCCACTAGCCTGAACAGGCAAGAAAAAAACCCCATTGAACCCTGATAGTCAGGTAAAATCATTATTACTAACAAATCTAGTTCAAGATTTGGCCAAAAATATTGGTAGCCTTAAGTTGGCTTTTTTAAAGTCTAGCTAATTAGAAAACAGTTGGTCTCAAACAGCTAGTTATTTAGCTGTTGTTTGCTGAAATGTGGTTGTCTCTTCAAAATAGACTAGCCTAGCACATAGCATATCTAAGTACAGGAAAGGAGGAGGTTGACCGAGGTTACGGTCAGCTGTCGTTGGAAGGGGTCCGTTGCAATTCAGTATTTATTCTTAAAATTAAAACACTGATGTTTGCATCTGTTTACTTTTCTCTGTGCTCAATGTTCTGTGGTTACTTGTTTTAAACCAACTGTAAGATTTAACTTTTATTTTCCTTGTTTGTATATTTTGGTTCACAGTTGTTTGACTGTGTAGCTGATAATTCTCACTGTAAGAAGTTCAGGATGGTTTCTAACATTAAACACCAATTACAGTTTTTGAGGCTGATTCTGGTATTGACACAATATTTAAAAATTAAAATAAAAATGTAACGTTTCTCCTTCTGAAACATCAGAACTAAACAGTTAAATTAACCAATACTGGACCAAATATATTAAAATAAAACTAAACTTCCTCCTCTGGATTCTTCAGTTTGGTGATCTCTGGTGGTTTTACACTCAAACTGAATTCGGCTCATTAACATCTCTGCTGGCTCGAATGTGTTGTATGAATATTTATGTCACATTGTTGAGCAGATGGACGACTTGAAAAGACAGAGATGAAGGGATCTGTTTACTAGTTAGCAGCCAAGATTGCTGACATGACAACAGATGGAGCAAAAAGAAGAAGAGGAGAGGACCTGAGAGAGGAGAGGAGGATTTTGTGTCTTAGTCTGAGTAATAAATTCGGGGCATAAAGGTTTTACTTAAAATGTAATTGTATTTTAGGGTTTATCAGTATGGAAGTTATTTGGAGTCTTTAAATACGGAAGCAAAGACGTTGTTGTGTTGTTAAATCTGACCACGACTTCATACTTAATGTTGAAATTTAGATAAGACATTATAGTGTTGAAATATATTAGTTTGAAAATCTATCTAACTGTATGTGATGTGAATTGTCTTCGTTGGAGGTCATTTCAAGTTGTGCAGATTCAATAAAAGTGTCCAGTCGCTCATCTGGATCACAACAAGAGTAGTTTGAGTCGGTCCAAACTGAAGTGAAACACACGTCATCACTTCTACTCTTGTTTTTACGAGTTAAAGAAAATCTCACACTTGTATAAATCAGATTGTTGTGATCTGGATCAGTTCACTGTGGCTCTAAGGCCCAGCGAGAGGAGAGGGGACCAGGTTTTTAATTACAGATGAGAGAGAACGTTTTTGTTAATAGAATGAGTACTCACATAAAGAGCCTCTCTCTCTCTCTCTGCCTCTCATGCACTGTTGGGCTCGCTCGCCCTCTCTCACCCACCCATTCAGTTGAGGACATTTACATATCTGAGGACACACACATCAAAGCGTCTCACTGTTATGGAACAAGACTGTGTGTGTGTGTGTG